TACAAAGATCCTACATGGGGCCACCCAGATAATCCAGAATGATCTGTCTATCTCAAGGACCTTCACCCCATCACATCTGTAATATCCCTGTTGCTACATAAGGGAATAGTTTCTGGGGATTAGGAGGGGAGCTGTCTTGCCCATTGTCCCAGAGAGTGAGGCCCCAGGATTCCAGAGAAGGGAGCTCAAACATTAACCTGGAGGCCATTGGGAGGCAGTGGGATTTGCACATGGGCCAAAAAAGGAAAGCAATAAAAAAGAATCACATGATCATATCAATAGATGCAGAGAAAATATTTGACAAAATCAAGCACCTATTTATGATAAAAACTCTCAGCAAAGTGGGAATAAAGAGAACATACCTCAACATAATAAAGGCCAAATATGATAAACTCACAGCTAAGATTATACTCAATGGGGAAAAACTAAAATTGTTTTTTTTTAAGATCAGGAACAAGACAGGGATGTCCACTTTCACCACTCTTATTCAACATAATACTAGAAGTCCTAGCCAGAGCAATCAGACAAGAAAAAGAAATAAAAGGCATCCAGATTGGAAAGGAAGAAGTAAAACTGTCATTATTTACAGATGGCATGATACTGTATATAGAGAACCCTAAAGACTCCACCAAAAACAACTACTGGAATTGATAAATGAATTTAGTAAAGTAGCAGTATACAAAATTAATATTCAGAAAACAGTTACATTTTTATTTATTTATTTATTTATTAATTTTATCTTCACTCAAGGATATGTTTATTGATTTTAGAGAGAGAGGAAAAGAGAGAGAGAAACATCAACGTGAGAGAGAACATTGATTGGTTGCCTCCCGTACACAACCGAAGTATGTGATCCTACCAGAATCAACCCGCAACCTTTTGGTGTATGGGATGAGACTCCAACCAGCTGAGCCACCCAGTCAGGGCTTGGCTGCATTTTTATATACCAATAATGAACTATCAGATAGGGAAACTAAGAAAACAATCCAATTTACAGTTGCATTAAAAAATACCTAGGGATAAATTTAACCAAGGAGGTAAAAGACCGGTATTCAGGAAATTAGAAGGCATTGAAGAAAGACATCAAAGAAGATATAAATAAATGGAATAATGTACTGTGTTTATGGATAGAAAAATCAACATCATTAAAATGTCCATACTACGCAAAGCAATCTATAGATTCAATGCAATTTCTATCAAAGTACCAATGGTACAATTTGCAGAACTAGAACAAATAATCCAAAAACTTATATGGAACCACAAAAAACCCTAAATAAACTTAACAATATTGAGAAAGAAGAACATGGTTGGAGGTATCATACTACCTGATATCAAACTATACTACAAGGCCATAGTAATCAAAACAGCCTAGTACTGGCATAAAAATAGACATATAGATCAATGGAACAGAACATAAAGCCCAGAAATCAATCCATGCCTTTATGGTCAATTAATATTTGACAAAGAAGGCAAGAACATACAATGAGGTAAAGATGGTCTATTTAATAAATGGTGCTAGAAAAATTGGACAGATACTTGCAAAAAAACAAAAACAAAAATAAAAGCAAACCATCTTCTTACATCCTATGCAAGAATAAACTCAAAATGGGTTAAAGACTTAAATGTAAGACTCAAAACAACTAAAATACTAGAAGAAAACGTAGACAGTAAACTCTCTGACATTTATCTTAGCAATATTTTTTCTGCTATATCTCCTTGGGCAAGGGAAACAAAATAATAAAGAAATGGGAATAAGAAGTTTTTGCACAGAAAAGGAAACCATCAACACAATGAAGAGATAACCTACTAAATAGGAGAACATATTTAACAATGACACATCTGATAAGGGGTTTAACATTCAAAATTTATAAAGAACTTATGCTACTCAACACCAAAAAAAACAAATAATCCAATTAAAATGGGCAAAGGACCTGAATGGATAATTCTCCAAAGAGGACATACAGATAGCCAATAGACATACAAATAGATGCTCAACATCATTAGTCGTCAGAGAAATGCAAATTAAAACCACAATGAGATATCACCTCACACCTATCAGAATGGCTATCATCAATAAACGCATAAATGACAAGTGTTGGTGAAGATGTGGAAAAAGGGAACTCTTGTGCACTGTTGGTGAGAATGCAGATTGGTGTAGCCATTATGAAAAACAGTATGGAGGGTCCTCAAAAAATTAAAAAAGAATTTGCCTTATGACCCAGAGATTCCACTTCTGGGATTTACCTGAAGAAACCCAAAACACGAATTCAAAAGAATAGATGCACCCCTATGTTCATTGCAGTGTTATTTACAATAGCCAAGATATGAAAACAACCAAGTCCCATCAATAGATGAGTGGATAAAAAAGCAGTGGTACATATATATACAATGGAATATTACTTGGCCATAAAAAAGAATAAGATTTTACCATTTGCAACAGCATGGATAAAACTAGAGGGTGTTATGCTCAGTGAAATAAGTCAGAGAAAGACAAAAACCATATGAATTCACTTATATGAGGAATCTAAAGAAACAAAGAAACAAAATTGAAATAGACTCATAGACACAGAAAGCCAACTGGTGGTTGCCAGAGGGGAGGGGTTTAGGAGACTGGATGAAAGAGGTGAAGGGATTAAGAAGTACAAATTGGTAGTCACAGAATAGTCATGGGATGTAAAGTACAGCATAGAGAATATAGTCAATAATATTGTGATAACTGTGTATGATGCCAGCTGGGGTACTGGAAATAGTGAGTGAACACAAGGTAGAGCATATGATTGTCTAACCACTAAGCTGTACGCTTAAAACCAATACAAAATAAAATCGAAAGAAAAGAATAAAACAAAGGAATAGTAATCAGAGAGAAGGGGCTCAGGACAACTATCCTGGGTCCTCTTCTGTTCTGCATTATTCTCTGGGTAGTTCTGGGTGAGAATAAACTCCCTCTCAAGGAAAAATGAAGACTTCTTCAAACCTACAGTCCAGAAAAGAGGGTCCCATGGAGAAAAAGCTTGGAGTCACAGTAAGCAGGGGCAGGAAGGGGTCCCTGGCATCCTTTTGTCTTGTCCTCACCAGGAGCCAAACAGGGTACAAGGGGCTGAGATGGGCAGACAAAGAAGGTGAAGAATACAGAATGCCAGAGTGAGTCAGAGCCCAGGCCCACATTGGATGGAAAGAAGAGAAAAACGGACCCAAATTTTGCTTGATTCCAAGGAGGAGGGAAAGGAAGAGACTCACCTAAGGTGGTCAGATAGGTTCCTCTGCTGAACACAGCACACAGTGACACAGCCTTGAACACAAACCCCTGCCACCCCCACCACCCCTGCCCAGGCCCACCTGCAGCTGCACGCGAGGCCCAAAATCCAGCCTCCTTGTCAAGGGGGCCGATCTGGCCGATGGGAGGGTGAGGAAGGGCATACCCCTCCCCACCTGCAACTTCACTTCCTTGGCGGGTGACCTTCCTCCCATCCATCCTGTTATATCCCAGGGGCCTGTTATATCCCACAGTCCTGGAAGGAGCTGTGTCTCTGGCTCCTTGGGGAATGTCAGGTGGAAGAAGTGAGAAGTCCAGTTTACAACCCAGAGACGATGGAGGCCGTGAAGCCCACGGGAGGGTTCTGGATGCCACACATGTCTGGACACATGATCTATGAAACCCTGTTTGCAGTGGCAACTGTGTGAGTGTGCTGTTCATATGAGGTCAGTTGGTGAGAACATGTGTGTCTGTTAGGTGTGCATGTAAGGTCATTTAGTGAGAATGTGTGTGTGTTAGCTGTGCATGTGAGGACAGCTAGTGAGAACATGTGTGTGTTAGGTGTGTGCATGTGAAGTCAGTTAGTTAGAACATGTGTGTGTGTTAAGTGTATTAATATGAGGTCAATTGGTGAGAATGTGTGTGTGTGTGCTAGGTGTGTATGTGAGGTCAATTAGTGAGAATGTGTGTGTGTCAGTTGTGTGCATGTGAGGTCAGTTAGCAAGAACGTGTGTGTGTCAGTTGTGTTCATGTGAAGTCAGTTAGCAAGAGTGTGTGTATGTCAGTTGTGTGCATATGAGGTCAGTTAGCGAGAACGTGTGTGTGTCAGTTGTGTGCATGTGAGGTCAGTTAGTGAGAATGTGTGTATGTTAGGTATGTGCACATGCATGTGCAGTTCTGTCCATATGATCTCTCAGATCCCCGTCCTGTGCCAGTTTCTAGGACAATAATTAATCTCCTGGGTTCTCAGGTCCCATTTAATGTTGCCAAGAAGATGAGTTAGTTCACAGACAAGTATATGGCTTATTCCCAGAATCATATTCTTGACTTTAAACTCGTGGCCCCATCCAACATCCATGGCTACTCTGACATTAGTGTTTGTGGTAGGGTCCATGGTGGGCTGGCCTCCCAGGGTTTGAAAGAGAGCAGAGCTGGCCACTAACTCCCGTGGGCCTTGACTACATATGGGAGCCCCGTGACACAGGTGGGAGAGGTGGTCCTGAGGAAATTGTGGAGGTGAGTGTCCTGGGTCCAGAGACAGGGTTCTGTGGTGAGTATAACAGCTAGGGTCCAGGGACGGGGCACATGGTAGTGTTTGTGATGAGGCAGGAGCAGGGGGAAGGGGTTCTAAAGAAGGAGGAATGCTCTAGGCTGAGAGGATGGAAACTTCCAGGTGGGGTAGGGAGCCATGTGGGTGGGAAGACAGGATTTTGTGGAAGGGGGCTCAGACACTACCCTGGGGTCCATGGGGATGAAGCGGGTGGGCCTTGGGGGTGGACATGGTCCACAGAGAAAAGCAATATTAGGGAAGGTGTGGGAAGTGCACTCTCCTGAGCTGTTCTGCCCTTTCCCCTGTTCTGGAACATTCTCTGGGCAATTCTGAATGAGAGCGAAACCTCTCCAGGGAAACATAAAAATTCTTTCACTGGGTCTTTTCCCAGAATCAAAGGATTAGATTCAACTTAGGGGATAGTTGAGTTCAGACCAAAATACATTAACAAAAGTGAGCAGACAGTATGACATCTGATTGACAATAAGAACATTTTATTGAGAGTTGATTAGGTGCAGGGAGAAGAAAGATGGGGTAAGGAGATCTTCTTGGGGATCCTGAGGCTCTAGCCCCTGAGAGTGAGAGGACTCAGAGTCCTAGGAACACTCTGCGGGGACCACTGTCTTCTCCACGGTGCTCCCCTCGTGTGTGACCTGGCAGCTGTATCTGCTGGTGGAGCTCCACTGATCACGCGTCAGGCTCAGGTAGCTGCTGGCTGCGTACTTGTTGTTGCTCTGTTTCGAGGGCTTGGTGGTCTCCACGCCCTGGGTGACGGTGTTGCCATTGGCCTTCCAGGCCACCGTCATGCTGCCGGGGTAGAAGTCACTGATGAGACACACCAGTGTGGCCTTGTTGCTGCTCAGCTCCTCAGAGGATGGCGGGAACAGAGTGACCGAGGGTGCGGACTTGGGCTGACCTGTGGGGTGCAGAGGGACAGGAGGTCAGAAGCTCAACATAAATCCCGGGAGCCCTGACCTCAGTCTTGAGTTGAGAACAGTTTCATGAACCTGTAAGGACCCCTATGACACAGACCACTCTGGGTCTGAGGAACCATATCATTTAGGGTAGATTGGGATGTTCCTGAAGCAACTTCCCAATTTCATGAGAAACCTTGAGACCGGACACAAGTCATCAGCTTTCCATTGGAACTCCTCCTGCCACACAGACATCTGACTGTCACCCTCTTGGCTCTGCCTTTTCCTGGTATTCTGACCAGGAATGTCTTTGTCTGTGTGTCCCCACAAAAGATAACCTCAGTTCTCTGACACCTTGTTGGGTCAATCTGTGATCCATTCTGACCCGATCCTTTTTTCCTGTGGACTTTAGGGTTCTTGAACTAAAGGGTCAGTTGTTTCCCCAAATCTATGTCTCCTGCACCTTCCCAAAGAGGGTACGATAATGTTGCTCACAAAGAAGTCTGTCTCTCCTTGATCTCTCTCACTATACATTTAATGGCACCGCCCAAATGGGTCCTGTCATTAGAGCTTTCATAGCACAGATTGAGCGTATCCTTGTGAGAGGATGTTTGTCCTGAGAGACTCAGGAGCTCAGGTTGACCTCCTACCCTGTCATTCCATGACCCTTCCTCTAGAACCTTCTCCTCCACCCCGTTCTCTTGCCCTGCAGGGTTCCCTGGGTCCCAGGCTGGCTCAGGACCCAGCAAGGCTGTTCTATGCAGACTCTGCAGAGTCTCTCCAACCTACAACAGTCCCAGCCTTTGTTCAAACGTCCCACAGGCCCGAGGACCTTCCCTGAAAGTCTGACTTGTGTGTTTGTAGCTTTGGCCCAGAGGATTCTGGATCACTCTACAATTTTCCCCCAGTTAGACCCTAAGTACTTCTTATGCTGTCTTCCCTTGGGAAAGGGGCTGCTAGTGAAGCCCTGAAATAAATCTAGTCCCAGAAGAGCCCATACGGGGAAGACAGAACAGAGTCTGTCCAGAATCCAGCTTGACCCCAGCAGGCGAACAGAATAGTCTACAGCTCATCCTGTCCTTTTCTCAGGCTCTGGAGTCAGAGGTGAATGGCTAGTGGTGAGAAATGAAGACAAATAGGACAGTAAGAACAGGACAGGAAGAGCTGAGTGTCCCAAAGGCTGGGATCGGGGTGAAAGCTGGGCCACTAATGGAGACAAGACCCACAAAAATGCAAAAACAACAGGAAAATTTTCAAAGAGTATGGAAGAGCAAGGAAGGAGGGGGAAGGAGAGACTCACCTAGGACGGTCAGCTGGGTCCCTCCGCCGAACACAACACAGTGACACAGGCTCATACAAAAACCTCTCTGGGAGGGCCTGCCCCACCCCTGAGCCCCCCTCCTGCAGCTGTGGTGGAGGAAGCCAGGCCACTGCCCCAGGCTGGTGTCTGCTCTGCAAGGGGCACATGCTGTCCCCCCACCACCCCAGCACATAGCAGGAGAGATGACTCAGAGCGTTGCACAGCAACAGGGCTGGTGGAAGCAATTTACCCAGAATAATTTGGTTTCTGATTAGCTGTTTCTCCTATTGTTGCCAGGGATTTGGATGAGGGTGGAAGGCATTGGTGTCACTGTGAGTGAGGTTCCATGGGCATGGATGCACGTCTCTCATACGTTCAAACAACCCTCGTTCCTTGGTGAGAGCTTGAGGGAGAGCAGGATGTATTCCCTACCCCCCCACCCTCCCCTTTCAGGGAAAGGCTGGTTGGCCTGTGTATAGAGTCTACTGGTAGCTTCCTATGTCCCAATCCATCAAATCAGAGGCTCAGGCTTACCTTCCTTATCTTCCTTAGTGTCAGCCTCTATGGAACTGTACTGGGTGATGTCAGCGTGCTCCTGTAGGAAATGCTAGCTTGTCCTTTAGTGTGATGTTGGGAGTATCCCCTGCCATTCCTCACCTGGGTAGAGTGGTGTGGGTGCTGTGTCAGCTGGGAGGCCTGACCTTGCTGAAATCCAGAGGCCACTCTCAGCCTTCTGTGAGTTAGTCTCACCGGCCCTTACTTGACTCCTGAATTCCAGTTGATATGTCCTCCCTTGGATATCATTGGATTTCCATTCTGTGCTGAGGATGGCATCCTTTCTTATTCATGAAGCTCAACTCCTTTGTCCTCCAGACCCTGAGGACTGACATCACCTGCTCTATCCATAAACTTCCACAAAAATTTGACCTTGATCCAACTGCAGGTTTTGAGACTCTTCATGATGGAGGAGGTCCCAGGCCCCTGCTATGGTCACCTTGAGCCTGATGGTGACCCAGGGCCATCAGAACATATACTGAACTTCCTTGTGCCTCAACCTAACCTCATGTCCCCACTCCCAGTCACTATGTCTTCAACCGAGATCCAGGTTAATGAGTTGATAAGGAGTGTGAACTTGATTGGGGAATGGTTAGGCTGTGTGATATTAAGTGTTTCTCTCCTGCAGGACTTGTCAGTGTCTTTACTTAGCTGACGTGCATTATTAAAGATCGAGAAATGTACTGTGGAATGCACTGTCAAAAATTTCCATGCCTCGGTGGTGCTTGGCCATCCACACAACACACACCTGGTACTCGCTCTCCCCTTTGCAGTCCTGGGTGGAACGGGGAACTTCCATGTTTGGTGCTAAAGATCACAGCCTTGGCTCAATAAAATTCTTTCCTAACATTTTCATCTGATGCCCACTGCTGACCTCCTGGGATCCATTCATTTTCCCAATCACTCCTCAGAACACCCGGACATCTTTCAATCTGCCCTTGTCCCTTCCTGTTGGAAAGGACTGCGCCCCGGACAAGTCCCTGCTCTGGGTCAGGGCTCCCACTGGCAGAGCTGATGCAGGTCCCTGATAGTTTGGTTTGAATGGACCATAGGTAGATCCATTTGATGTCTTTACTGCCCTTCCACGTATTACTGACCTTTTAACCTAGATACCCATTCAGAACACAGAACACACATGAGAAATGTCAGATGATAAATGATTAGGAATTTATTAAAGGGAAGTAGAAATGGGGAGGGTGCAAGACCTGCCCAGTCTGAGCAGACCAGGGCCGGAGTCTTAGGGGTACAGTTTGGAGCTGGGGAATGAAGTGTCTGACTGAGGAGAGTCCCAGAAGTGGGGGCTCAGGTCCTAAGAACACTCTGCAGGAACCACTGTCTTCTCCACGGTGCTCCCCTCGTGCGTGACCTGGCAGCTGTATCTGCTGGTGGAGCTCCACTGATCACGCGTCAGGCTCAGGTAGCTGCTGGCCGCGTACTTGTTGTTGGTCTGTTTCGAGGGCTTGGTGGTCTCCACGCCCTGGGTGACGGTGTTGCCATTGGCCTTCCAGGCCACCGTCACGCTGCCGGGGTAGAAGTCACTGATGAGACACACCAGTGTGGCCTTGTTGTTGCTCAGCTCCTCAGAGGATGGCGGGAACAGAGTGACCGAGGGTGCGGACTTGGGCTGACCTGTGGGGTGCAGAGGGACAAGAGGTCAGAGGACCTGTATGCCTCATGAAGGCTGCAGACCTCGGTCTTGATGTTAGAACAGTGTCATGAATCTGTAAGGATCCCTCTGATAGAAACCACTCTGGGTCGAAGAGTTCATGCCATGTAGGGCAATTGTGATTATCCTAAAGCAACTCTCCATTTTCCTGAGAAAGCCTGGGACTGGACACCTGTCATCATCTTCCATTGGACCCCCTCATCCACACAGATATCTGACTGTCACCCTTTTGGCTTTGCCTTTTTCAGGTGTTCTGAGCAGGATTGTCTTTGTGTGTCTCTCTGTTTGTCCCACAGAAGATGACCTCATATTGCTGAACTTTTTTTGGGTCCATCTGATATCCATTATGGCCTGATATTTTTTTCCTGGGGATTTACAGATTGTTTACTAAAGGGTCAGTTTTTCCCCCAAATCTATGTCTCCTGCACCTTCTCTAAGAAGGTATGATAATGTTGCTCAAACAGAAGTCTGTCTGTCCTTGATCACTCTCACAGTACATTTAATGGCACCGCCCAAATTGGTCCTATCATTAGAGTTTTCATAGCAGAGATTGAGAGTATCCTTGTGAGAGGATGTTAGTCCTGAGAGACTCAAGAGCTCAGCTTGACCTCCTACCCTGTCATTCCATGACCCTTAGTCTAGATCCTTCCATTCCACTCAGTTTCATGGCCTGCAGGGTGCCCTGAGCCCCAGGCTGGCTAAAGACCCACCAAGGCTGTTCTAAGCAGACTCTGGAAAGTCCGTCTAACCTACAACAATCCAGGCCTTTGTTCACATGTCCCACAGTCCCAGGCCCTTCCCTGAAAGTCTG